CGTGACTCGCTTATGAAAATTCCGCGTGCTGTTCCATTTGCAAATTATTAAATGAAATGATTTAAAATTAAAAATTATTTGTTTTATTAAAAATAGATGCTTATATATTTAGTAGATTTACCTTTGAAATCGTTTGACATTTATAATTTATTTGTTTGGAAACGTTACTTAAAACAAGAAATTCAGAATTAGAAATAAAATAAATTTTTAAATAAATTAGAAAAAATGAAATATCATCGGTTTTCAAAATGTACGCCTAATGTAATTGCAATTAGCCAGGTTTATATCAAACTTTCTTCGTGAGCTGCTCCAAAATCGGCTATAAACTTTGATTTCATCGACGATCATGTTATATAATCGCATTGCAATGACCGCGATAACCGATTATAGTCCTGAATTATGAAGGAAGTTTTAAACCGCTCTGCCTTCATTGGCAAACGCAATTAATTAGGGAAGAGCAGCCCGCTTATGAATTATTCGTATTTCTATAGCGTCCATGAACGAGAATGCGATTTCGCGGACTGTCGAAATGTTTGAATCTCGAGAGATAAATGCCCCGTTGAAATATGTATGCCAGCCAGAATTTCGGCCAATGCGTCTGCCTCTTCCTCCTGTCTCCTAATGCGTCTAGTTGACGAAAAACGTAACAAATTGCTGTCGTGAACGCTTTTCAGAGTCGGTAAGAAAACCCCCATTTCTGGCATTGACAGCCGGAAAATGTCGCGTGGGGGCCTCTTATAGCGAGACATTACGCCGCTTGATGTAGAGTCATCTTTGTAACTTCGTGCACTAGTACTTGAATTGGTAATTTGAGTACGCGTCGTTACGCACAGCGTTACAATGCTCTCTCTCTCTGTTCATGACAAAGTCAAATCTATTTTTAATGATAAAAAATGCATAGAAATTCACAACACAGCGACTCACAATTATTGCTTGAAATGTGTGCACATCATTATGTATTAACAGATTCTTTATTAGATATTTCAAATCTCAGATTATTATATTATTACAATAATATTATATAATATTGTGTAATAATATTATTATGTAATATAATAATAATAATAATAATATAATTATATTATACTTAATTAAAAGTCTAATCTCCCAAACATGATACGCTCTTTTCCTACAAAAATATTCTACTATGACAGAAGGAAATGCAATACGCTGCGCTATCAAATCAATTTTATATATATATATATATATATATATATATATATATCAAACACTTTATTTCGCTTTCGACGTGATTTCCCTCACGGTATGGTCGCGTTTGAGTCAAACTCAACAAGTGTACACACGAGACACGCTGAGAGGGAAACCTTTGATGCGATACTTTAAAAGTAGTCGCGCTGCCAGTTACATTGATTGCGCTATCGCTTCGTCTAAAGTGTTGCATAGTATCGGCGAGAGAACACTGTGCATCGTACGGTCCTCGAGAAGAAATTGCGCTCGATAAAAGCCGATAGGTTGAAATCGGTGTGCCCGGAGAACTTTACACATCCTCGATCCGCGCTAACAATAAATAAGACTAAACGGAATCCACAACGGCATGACGTGCTTTCGCTGTCCAGAATTCGCCGTTGCCATTCATTTCGCGACTTTTTTGTCCAAAGAGGAAGAAAGAAAGAAAGAGGGGGATACAAAGGTAGAAGCTATTAACATCGTGACTTTTCTTCCGTTCAACAGCCAGAACTCATTACCACATCGTATAAGAGTTCCGACAGTTTTCGAGGTAAAGTTGGATTAGAGGTTGGCAGCTCGTTAGTCGGCCTTATCGATCCCTTCTCTTGGATACCATTGTGCGCGGCGTATTAATTAAAAAATGAAAATCCCACCCCCTTCCGCGCCCCCTCTCTCCCTCGTTTAACATACGAAGAGTTCTATAATCTCCATCGTGCAAGTTTCGCACATTCTCGCGCTCTCGCTCTTTTTTTTTTCTCCTTCCTTCGGAAACGACTGCAAAGTTATAAAGTGCGCTGGATCGTTTATCGATTTTCAATTTACTCTTTCGGTATCAATAATTCAATGAGCCCCGGAGTACTACTTAAATGAACCTAGTGAAGTCTCAATGGGCCAGTCGCGGTTTATCTTTTCATATCTCTTTCATAGTCGAGAGCGCTAAATTATAACTCGCGCGAGAAACGTGAATCTGATCTACAGAATATTCCGAATAGATTATAGAGCCAGTCGTGAAATTCTAAAAATAGCCGCAATCATAGTCGCCGTCGAGGTAACTAAATCGACAGACGTGAGAAGCAGAGCACGTGCGAGTCTCTGAATCATCATCGATATATATCAATCGCGAACAAAGGGGACTCGCACTCGAATTATACAAACCAATATGTGTGTATGCGTGTGTTACGGACAGGTGAGGGATGTCGAGATGACATCTTGCAATCACTCCGGTTCGCCGGTTTATCGAAAGAAAGACTAATGATTGCCGGAGGGTGGCATGTTTCGTTGATGGGCGAAATCTCCGGAATAAAGAGGGTGAAAGAGGGCAGTGACAGATAAGAGCGTCGGAAATCGATCGATCTGGAACGAAATAAAATATGCCCGCAAGAGCACGCGGCCGTAATTACGAGCGTTGAAGAAAAATACAGCACGCCATTACCGGAGGGTTAAGTGAACCTGCCGCGATCGGGTTGTACGGAGAAAAGGAGAAAAACAAGACGATACAGATGAAGAAGGAGGTCAGCCGGTATAGAAGAGGAAAGGAAAGGGCACAAGGTGGAGAGGTATTACTCAGATAACTGAAACGTGGAACGAATGAACGAAGGGAACCTTGAAACGGCTTGGTATAGGATACACGGAGGAATCACTGGGAGGGCAGAAGACCAAGGGTGGAAAACCCAAGTACGGCTTGCGTGTTCGGCCGCAAGTTCGCCTTGGCTTCCGGTTGCTCGCATGCTACGAGTCCACTTGTATTAGACTCGCCCGCCCGCGGTTTGGACATAGTTCAGTCAGCAACACACAGACACAAAAACATACATACACGATTGAACACACAAAAGCCGTTTCGGATAGAACTCACCCCTCAACGCGGAGCTAATCGCCGGTTGAATTAATTCCAGAACTGAGAATGGCTTCTGTGTGCCGACACACGGACGGTTACTATCTGAAAGTGGAAAGATATCGGACAATCGAGTGCGACTAATGGTTGCCGGAAATCCTAGACAGCGAGGCGTACTTGCAAACGCGATTTCGATTGTGGTTTAGTACGCGAGTACGAGTGGATAAAAGGTTCCGGATACGAGATCGCGCGTTTTGCTAAATTCATGTGATCCGACCCCGATCCTTCGGGCTTCGAGGTGAATTCTGATATGGTTAGGGAAACTACCATAGACCTGATAAAATCGGTCGTTACAACTTTCACGAGAAAGCATATAAAAGCTATTACGCAGGCTAGATCATTTCTATTATTACGAGAGTGTTAAAGAGATAAAAGTTGCTTTCGGATATTGCTGAATATAGTGACTCTATTTTATGCAAAATTAAAAGAGAAAAAAAAATATATATATATACATAATTTTTTTATCTCACGTACACAGAGAGAATTTTCTCTTAGAATTTACCCTAAAAATCATGATAATCGTGCGACAATATATGGTACTGGAAGAATCTTATAATTTATATTAATATTTACCGCAATAAAAATATTAGTAAATTTTACTATGTACATATTAATATTTTTTTAAATATAATATTAATCAGAGAAACTCTTACAAGATTCTTCCAATACCATATTGTCGCACGATTACCATGATTTTCAGGGTAAATTTTACGAGAAAATTCCCTCCGTGTATATTACTTTACTTTTTTTTATATCTAAAAAATACTGTACATCTATACAATATTTCGGCAATGAACACGCTTGAAAAGCTATTCAAAGAAAAAATCGCGATTCTCTTCCTTAATTATTACATACAATATTTTGTTCGCGCGACAGAGATTCGGAGCTTCGCGTTTCAATTAAAAGCCCCTCCGGTGCGTTATTCAACGAGTAAGCCCCATCCGAACCAGAAATCAATGAAAAATTTTCAGGTTTAATTTCGAGGAAAATGGCGAAAAATACCGCGTCCGCAACGTGCGTCGAATCAAAGTACTTTTTTATGACTCGATGCGAGGGGTAGTTAAGTTAAATAATGAATGAGAATTAAGCTAGCCGGGCCGGTCTACTGGGGGTACCGAGTCGCTTTGATGTCTGGCAGCAGCCGCCGATTATGGAATCAATTATTGCTCGGTGCTTTCTCTCTCTATCTCCCTCTTTCATCCGCCATATATTTCCCGATCTACTCTCGCACTCGCGGCTTCGTAGGCTTTCGCTCCCGCTTTTATATTTCGCTCTCTTTATCTTTCCCTCTATATATTCCCGCGTTTTCTCTTCTCTTCGCCTCTGTTCGCTCTGACTATGTCTCGTTTCGTGACGAACGCGGAGAGAAAGATTTATTCGATATAGGATGAAATTACTCAGACAGTCACGGAGAACCGATTCCGCGAAAGGTCAGCAAAGTCCACAGGTCCACCCGCGTACATAAGGATATACCGCTATTATCGTCCTATAATCTACGTCAATTACCTCTGACGACGGGTAGTATCGCGGAAATAGGACCTTAACTGTCAGTACGTGCTTACTTCTCCCGGTTAACACACATACACGCGTGCTTAAATTTTATCTTAATGACAAACTGCGATTTTCATAGAAATATGACGGAGATAATTATATTTCATGACTGAAAAAATATTATTGGATTATTTTGTGAAACGGAGACTGGGTTGTTTTCATTATACCTTTTATATATATTTATGTCAAGCTCGTTTACAAATTAAATTTTGTAAATTTTGCGATGGATTATAGAACATAATGAAAAATATAATTCGCAAATTTTATCATTCTCTGATTACTAAAACTGACTTGGCATGAAAAATTTAAACTTTTGCATCAAAAAAAATAGTTTATTATATATAAAAGTCAAATATATGTATATAAATGTTTTCATAAATCAACATGCATAGATAGGATTCATTTCTTTTCTTAAAATCCTAGAGAATATCTATAATAAAGATTTATAACTAGTGCTATATTAAACATACACAATACCAACACATGTACATAGATATAAATTGCGAAAGGAGATTTATGATCTTTATACAACATTGTGTTTTTATGTTTGTATTTTTTGTTCTTATTAAAAAAAAATTAGTTAACGAAAAGATGGAAAAAGAAGAAAGCAATACCGTATTTATTAAAACTGGCTCTTATTTTTCTTGCTCTCTTTGATAGAAATGACGTAACGCTGCGGCACGTTCATCGGAGGCGCGTAGCCGGTGTCGTAAGCGGCGTCCTCGAAGAGAAGTTCGTAGTCTTCCATGGCGGTGGTCGGTAGGTGCTTCACGATGGCTTTGTAAAAGCAGGTGCACTGCGGATACAGGGCCATCACCGTGGAGCCTTTCGGGAACAGAGCGTGAGGATCGGTTTCGGGGTTCGCTCTCATCAAGGGCAACGGTACGACTCGTTTCCGCGGAACTGTATGACGGTCCTTCTGCTCGTCGTCGACATCGTCGACCTCGTACATCTTCGTCGCCGGATTAAACTGCACGACTTCGGCTAGGATCCAGTTCTCACCCTCGTTACCCTTCACCCGAGTCAAAGTGGCTACCATGTCGCCGACCTTCGCAATGTACGTCGGCTCGGCTGGTATCGCGCCGCACAAAGGTGGCGGCTTGGCACCCGGTGTCTTCCCGACGTAGAGAGGCAGAGTCTGCGCGGTGCTCAGAAACATCTTCAGCAACGCTCCGCGTCTGACGGTCTCTTTGTTGCCGGCGTTTCGCGCCTGTATGCGTCGTTCATTTCGTATGGTGCGTATCTCGTTGATCTTGTTGAGGGCCTTCCGTAAGATCTCCTCTTCCTGCTGAGCGTCGCTGATCGCGGCGTTGTACAGGTTCTTCAGCTTCTGTTGGTAGTAAGGGGTGACCTTGTCGTCGGGCGTGACCTTCTCGTGAGTCTTCATGATGTTGTTCAGGTTGTGATCCGAGCGAATCCGTTGAGTATCCATGTCGTGGACGAGGGTGAAAATGCTCTTCAACCGCTCCTGGATCTGACTCGCTGCAGCATCCGCCGTGAATGGCATTGTGAAAATTGCAGGTGTAACCGTAAGTTCGATAGTAATGTCTTCGATTGAAAAAGGTCACTTTCCTGCAACAAAAATATAAGATGTGTTTTTTAGACAATTTGACACAATATCTCCCTTAAATAATTATATATATAATTAAACATTTTTTATATACAATCATTTTTATATAAAATATAAAATATTAAAATATAAAATAAAATATAAATATTAAAATATAAAATAAAAATATTAAAATATAAAATATTTTATATATTTTATATACAGTAATTTTTTTATATACAATATTTCTGATAAAAAATCAAATATCAATTTCAAATATCATATTAAACATATGCTATTATAATATTTTGTAATACTATACATTCTAATAAAAAAATTATAAATCTGGAAAATATCGCGCGGGCTTGATTTACAATACAAAATTATATTTTTTAATTTAACGTTCAATGTTTTATCCCACAAATACACACGATAGAAGTTTGTTATCTCATGATATAATTAAAATCTCAACACATCTACGAAAACTTTCTTTACGTCGCTTTATTTAACGCTAATAGCAAAGAACGTGCAGTTCTCTCCATTCAAATTTGATCCTATTACGTAATTCGCTGTAGTACTATAATTGTACGAATATCATATGCTACAACAGCGCTTGTCTCAAAATGGCCGACAGTTTACAAAGCATGAATGGATCAATATATCACTCACCAGTTTCTGAATTGACCGATATCCAAATCGACGAATTCTCGATGTATCCCACCTAAAAGGGAAATACCGATCGAGTGCTACGAAATACTGATCGCTGTACGTATCCCTCTAATGGTACGGAGTTGCAGAAGACAGCAAAAGGTCTGACACGTTACACGTTCGATAGTATACGCGCATCTGCGCCGCACTGCTTCTCCCACTACCTTCCTGAACGAAGCAGACCGTCGCAGTCTCTTGCCAAGGTGATGCTGCCACCTCACATCGGACTCGGAAAATAACGGGCTGGTGATAGTGTTGTCTGCAGCGCCGAGTCACTAGCATCTATATATCGCACTCTGATTAAAGATTCATTTTATATGCATAATTGGTTATTAAAGATTAATTTTTTTTAATTAATAATTATGACACAAGTAAACATCTAATTAATTTATTATTAAAATCTATAATTTATATAAATATTGGATATAATAATCATAGAGAAAAAAAATAAAATTATTTAAATAACTAATGAATTATAATTAATTATGTATTATCAAATGAGGTTTTTTTCATCATAAATACAAAATTTCCTTTTTTTCATTTATAATATAGAGCTTCAGAAAACAAATATATATCTTTGAAACATCGAATATTAGGAATTATAGTAATACACAGCATAGTTTTTAAATATTTTCTCAATACTGAAATATCAAAGGTTTCTTTTACATAATATGGAATTTTAATTTCTTACATACTATTTAATTTAAGATATAATTTTGAACATCTATTATATATTTTACATTATATACACATAATTAATAGATTTTCATTTTTTGTATTCTTCTCACAACAATATTTTATCAAGATTTATATCATATTAATACAATTACTTTATTTGAATAGTATCCAAGATATTTCATTAAATTTTCCATCCAACACTCTATTACTTGTGAAATATGTGCATCAATGATAAAGTTGTTTCGATATGCGAAAAATGGCCATATGTCGATAATTTTTCTTCGAGAAAACTCGTTCTCAGATCCAATCATACATCGTATCGCATAGACCCGGGCTGACTGCGGCACTAAGCGAAGGTATACATTGAATGTGGCGTGTATCATCGCTAACAGCCAACAGGTTAACCGCGCTAACAGCATCGATAGCGCCGCAGAATGCCATAACTCATTCACGCCGAGGCAGCGCTTGGGAAAACTGAATCTCTAATCTCTTGATTAAATTCATCCTTCCGAGACGCGGCCAGATTTCGTATTATCTTTTATATAATAATATATATAAACGTAATCACCCACTTGCGTTACATTTTCTATAATAAATAATAATCCATCATAAATTAATTGTGACGAAATTGTAACTGCGCCATTACGAAGAAAAATAAGTAACACAAAATATGGAAAACCATTTTAAATTTCTCTTATCGAATTCTATTAAAATACTGAATCAAATAATGTATAATAATTTTTATCAGTTTTTGGTATCGAGATAAATAATAATGATTTTTCACACAATTTAACGACAAATAAATAACACACACGATATGACATAACATATATGATATAATCGTACGGCATATCACGACAAGTGCATAGTGCATCGTACGCGTTAATCGGACACGTCATGCATCATCGCCAACTGCATCGACTAACAACGATAGCTTTGCACAGGACACGTGCATCGCGCGCAGAAAATTTGAAAAAATTCCGAGTCGCGGAAATTCCATTAAAGCAGCTGCCTTGGCCCTCTCTCGAGCACGTCTATTTATTTATTTACGATATATACATATGCGTGCACGCGCGTGTACAGCTGCCGATATATACGACGCAATATATCTCACCGTAAATGTGTATCTTAACTGCGTGTGCCTTTTACGAACTCTACGATTTATTCGCTGTGAGATGCGTGTCACATGTGCTATCGGCACATATTGTGCATAGCATCATCGAGAAATCGCAGCTTCGCTGCTTCGTACAAACACCATTTCACAATTTCAAAAAAATTGTGGCTATATAATCGCAGCGTCGTTATCTTCAGGAATTTAACAGAAATATAGTATAAAATTATATATTATATATTTTATATTAATATTATATATTATATATTATATATTATATATTATATATTATATATTATATATTATATATTATATATTATATATTATATATTATATATTATATTTATATTATATATTATATATTATATATTATATATTATATATTATATATTATATATTATATATTAAGATATAATAATAATAATAAATAAATACTGTCAAAAAACAATGAAATTCGATTAAATTCAGCTTCCGTACAGGCTATCATCGGATAGAAATCAAGTCCTTTTTATACATCTGATGGCTCCAACCGCGAATGGGCCATTAAAACGTGCTCTACGAACTCAGCAATGTCAGTTCAGAGTATTACGTATGTACGTAACATACGTAGATATACGTTTCGAAATATAGAACAAGGTATCTAACGAGGCGTAAAAGGAAATCTCGGGCAAAGTCCTTACGCCGTTTCGCGCTCTTCATCTGGAATTCTCGCTGACACCCATTTCGAATCTCATCATCGGATTCGCACGATTAATCTTGCGGCGAATTTTAAATTACGATAATGCATTGAGTAAACATTGGTAACTGACAGATAGAAGTTGATAAGGAAAATGTAGAAAGGAGCAAACTTTATTTTTTCGACACTCGTTTCTTTTCTCGTGAAATAAAAACTGTAAAAGTGTGTCAAAAGACACAGTATAAATCCTTATTTAATATTTTTGCACTCTCTTTTCGCGTTTGCAGTGCTTTTATTATTTATTAATCGCTTGGAGGGTTTTATAAAATGCATGGACATAAAAATATTATTTTTTTAAATAGCGTGGAGTAAAAACGCACGTGTAAGAAAGAAAAAAATAAATAAAAAAGCAAATTGCATAGAGACGAATTATTATACCATGAGTGACATTTATGCATTTGGCAAAGAAATAATAAATGGAGAGCGAGGATAAAATAATACGATAAACCTCTTTGCGAGTATGCCGCGAATAGTATATTGGATATTCGCATAAATCGATTGTGCATATCGAACTGATTTGACGCGATTCGATTTTCATCTAATATCGGCGGCTTTATGATGCACGATTTTAACGACCTGTTGCAGTCGTTAATCCGCCTACGAGATGCCAGGATATCGACGCGCATAAATGACATTTCAAACGAATTCTTCGTGTAAGGCGCGGAATGGAAATGTCAAACGCAGCTACGTTACTGCTGATGCGAATGTGAAACAGGAGCCTGTAAAGAAAGGTGGAACGAGATGAAGGGTTTGGATTCTCGTAAACACAATCTATTCGAAGGGATTCGATATCTCGTGACTGTCGCATATGTTCGTCTTTTTATTTCTATTAGGTGGTTTGTCAAACCGTTTGGCGAAGACAAGCAGATAGTTTCGCCGACAGACTCTTCACGTAAAAGTGAGCAGTTTGCTCGATATCATGCATATGTAACACATCATCTATATAACAAATTTATAGATATACATATCAATTTTTAAGCTTTTACTTCTAGCATTCGTCGCAAGTAACCTTAGACGAAAATTGGTATACATATATTGACATTATGATATATACATACATCTGTATCCAATTATAACAATAATATTACGATAAAAAATATTAAATTAATATTTATACAATTTTATATAAAAAACATTCCAATTTTTAATTAAAGAATATTTCCTTAGAGAATTTTTCTCTTAAATTAAGAGGATTCTTTTGAAAGATCTGTGCAAATTTTTTGTATAAATAAATCATAAAATAAACATAAAATATTTAAACGACATTTTTATTTATAACAAATCGCTGCCATGTAATTCTTTAACTGTAAAATGTAAGGTGTTTCCAAACTTATGAAGGGTACCGAAAAATATCCATTTCCGATAATAAATAACATATACGCGTTGTCAAGATGAACAATAATAAAAACGGGAATACAATATATTTATATCGTATATAATATTTATAATACTTTATTTTTCGAGATACATACATCTCCAATGCGACTATCGAAAAAACATACATATTGCATTGTTTAGTCCATTCAATGCGCAGTAACAAGAAAATTACTGCTCCTACTTTGCGCGATTCATACTTTATCTTTACCTGTACATCTGATAATACACTTGACATACATTCGTTGCAGAAAACGTTGCATCGCCTTCGCGAGAATTTTCCTTTTCGTTGAAAAGCGCTAGACGGAAGCTTGTATAAGAATGACGGAAGAATTCAACTTGCAAATGCGAGCCACTCGAATGGAATCGATACGTCGTGATTTTTCGTATCCGCACTTTTCCTCTCTAACTAGGATCGAACGATTTATCGAAAAATCGACGTATCTCTGCGCTTTGTTACACGTAAGATATCACGGTGCGTACTTTTTATTTCTCACCTCGTCAAGGATTCCACTTTCGGTCCGAATAAAATATTCAACGGAATATTCGGACGTCAGATATTTCCTCCGTCAATGTCCATCGGCCACGTGGTCGACGTGACTGTAATCAGATCAGAGCAGTCAAGGAACGGAGAGGAGAAGTGACGGAGGTCGAATCACGTCGTTGGTCAGAGCGTGAGGGATATTTGATTTACGCCAGACACTAGAGGTCCGAGGAGGTGTCAGAATGCTGGATGCGTTTTCTGCCACGTCGCGAAAGGATACGCGAAAAGGAAATCCCACAGTCGCTGTATAATGCAGAACCGCGCGTGCATTAGCGCGATTACATCGACATCGTACACTATTGTATATATATCTCTCTATCCCTCTTGTTTATCCTCCATTCATTCTTTATAAGACGTAGTCTTGGACTGCCATATGTCGCTTCGTTGGTGGCGGCGAGGACTCCGTGACACGCATGGCACAAGGGATAATGTACCGTACTCCTGTTTGCACAAGGAAGCTTCTACGAAACGGGAATTATCGAATTTCAGGAACGGTTTCTGTTATTATTTCAGCAAACATTCGTAGCTCGACCAGGTGAACAACAGCAGGTCGGAACGATAGAGTCGAAACCGACAGGCAACCCTCGCCTCTTCTCGAGGATATAATGCGTTTCCGCTGCCCCGTGGAATTTGTCCATAAATATTGGCTCGGAATAATCGATATAATGCCGCGAATATTCCAGGGAGAAATGAGTGATTCGTGGACAGTCTGTAC